AAAACTCGTTTTAGACATAAAACAGGAGAGAAGCACACAGGAGGCTGTGTGTGTTGCCGGGTAACATCGCAGGCGTAAATCAGCTGATAGTTAGATGACAGGAGATATCATGCGAAAGATTAATTGACGAACCTGATTTACGTAGTATGAAGTAAGAGGGAATCTCAGACTACAGCAAACTCAGTTGGGGAATATATTAGTCAACTCCTAAGTCTGGCTGAGCAGATTATTAGCTATTAAAAATAAAACTTGTCAACAATTTAAGGAATCTTTAGAAGCTATTAACAGTATCATTAATTCATCACGAGTTGACCATTAAATCGCGATTTAATGCTGGACTTGTTTATGAGGGTAATTAAATAATCAATTAAGTGATTACATTACATTTATATAAAAAGCTTCTCTGCAGGCTCTTTTGGATCTTATGAAGCGTTTGTTCGTTCATATTTGGTACCTCACTCTTCTATCTTTACAAGTAATAATGAAATCGCATTCTTTGAAGGTTCCTCTAGAGCTGATTTACTGTAGAAGATTCTCTTCTTGGAAGAGTATTCGTAAGCTGACGTCAACAGCGCCGAAAATGATGATAAAAATGAAACAAAAAAAAAGAGGACGTTCTTTATCAAATTCATAGTGCAATAGTGCCTTAGCACGCCTCAAGCAATCCAGCACCTTAACAGCAGATGCAGTATTAATAATAATTACAATATTAATTGACCCTGAGTGCAGATACTTGCATATGTACGATTATCATAGCAGTAATAATATTCGAATATCTATGATGTGAAGCATTATTGTTACAATTTATTAGTGAAGCGGTACAACTACGAAATGGTGCTTGCTAAAGGCGTGCACCAAGAATACTCGAGTGCAAAAATCTCACAGGACTTCCGAGGTCAGGAACGGCAAGGACGAAAATACGTTAAACTTATCAAGACAGAGCGACCTTAAATGTAAAGTGAATTACACGATGCTAATTGTTGTTATGGAGTCAGCCTGTTTAAACCAGCGTCGTATTTTGAAGTTTTCTTAGAAACTGCAAACCACCTAATAACAGTAAAAATACATAACTATCGTTTTACTAAGTATTGCCGATAAACACTGCACACATATTAAACATACTATTGTTTATCTGTGAGCTTCCTTTTCTGTTTGTTGAAACTAGTAAGTCAATAATTGTGAATTATTACTCTAATTTAAATAGCATTACAGTCTGCTTTACTTCGTGTGTAAAACTATCTAAGCTTTGCTCGCTAGATCGTTCAGTTCCGACCCCGGATCCTATCCTTGTATGTAGGCAGTGTATGGTAATATCTATATATATACACAATCACAAAAAAATATGTAGAAATCCTACAGGTGATGTATGCCACGCTCTGCTCAGCTTGCAATTTTTGGCAAGATCTTCTCCTTAAGGATTTTAACATAGTTATAGATTATTATAATTACCATTATTTTTCATGTCCCGATATGATTAATAAATTGAGTGGACAGCAGTACGTATATAGCAAGATGCTAATAGATGCTATCGACGATTATGATGAAAATGATGATAATTATTGCCTATTATGATACTGTTATATTAGTAATTATATTGACGATCATTTATGGCACAAGAACCCTATAAGCAGTGGTGTATATCCTACAAAATCCATACATCCAGATATATGTACCCATGTATTATATTATTATATGCGACACCAAGGAGCGCGTTCGAGCTTGAGTCGGTGTGGGCTGTGATGTTCAGTAGCAGAGAAATTGGGATTAATGCTTTTCAATCGACGTCGCACTATCGTAACGTATCTATAATGTCTATGCCAGCTTGACAAAGCCAGGAAGACATACATGTCCGGTGGGTTTTGGAAAGTGTTTTATTGCATCGGTTGCTATATTTACCTGTTTCCTCTACGTGCAATTATCGCTTACATTGGGTGTAGAAGGATACGAAAAATGACTTGCACTTCCCTTCGCATAAAAACGGATTTCAAAAACTCCAAACAGAATTTATTGTATGGAATGTGCATATCTATTACTAAATTTATAACATTTTTCTAATCACTTCGTTATCAATTGTATGCACGTTGTAGATCATTTGTAACCGCATGCTTCGTCGCTTATAGTTAACTAGCTTCAGTTATCTTCATGCGACATCGCTTTATCGATGAGAGCAAATGCAGCCTCCCATTTTTCGCCTAGTTTTGTATAGAACACGCTGTCGACAAAATGTACTTTTTCAGCTCCTATTTTCCCTTACTTTTCTAGATCCCAACCACCCAATGGCAGGTACGGCAACGAAACTCAAGTGTTGCATTGGGCCAAATGTTAAAGAATTCTCATTACCCACTCTGGTCGACGACCAGTATTACAATTCAGTATTACTGCAGATATGCGTTCGCTTTTTAATACCGATACGACTATTAATATTATGATTATTATTAGAGTGACCATAAATAAGGAGCTGTAATACTCTAACAGTCGCCTGCGCTACCATCGCAGAAGAGGGACTGATGCGTTACTCTATACGATAAGTTTACTATTACGATTATCATAAAGATATTATTATTATTATGGATCATCTTTGTATATAACCGAAACTGAACCAATACATACTATACACACATGAGGAAGATAAGGACCAGGATGCACCAAACATATGGAGAATGAAATAAGACAAACGTGAATGCAAGCCTAAAATGCACGACAACTAATGACTGTTAACAATTGATGAGAGAAAAAACCGACCGTCAAAAAAGTTGATATGCTTTGAGTCGGTCAGATAGAAACATAGTACATAGACACAGCGAACAGAAAAACGACAGAGGAAATGCACGAGTTTAAAGGGTCTGAGAGCAACGAGGTAAATGATTTCCATTACGCAATGTTACGTTACTGGGTTCCATGCGTCTTGCTGGTTAAAAGTTTTTAATGCAATAATAACAATAGTAATGACGAGAGCAGCGATGAAAGCAAATGATGAGGTTGTAGACAATGGAAATAATGACGCAGAAAGTGGTGCAGAAGGCTAGAAGAGATGAGAATTAATTAACAACGAATAAAACATATTGGTTATAATATCGAAGCAACATTTGTCGTTATCTTTAATGCTTTCTTTCATATTTCGCCTTAAATAGTGTAGTAATATCCGCATATCCATGTAGCGTCTACCATTGTTTAAATGGAGCATATTCAAAGCTTTATTGCTACACCAGATTGGCTAAAATTGCTTCCAGTCCCGCCAACGGTAATACCAAACCTTGTGACGCTCTTGGGACGGAAAGTGGCTCAGTTTGACCGGAGGCTAAATGTCGTAAAAGCTAACGTGCTTAACAGACTCATTCGATACTCTCGCCGCTCGAAATAGGAGCTACCAGGAGTAAGTGCCGTCATAGATACATCAACAGGCGACAAAACTGCTCATTAGTACCATAAAATTAATCGGGTGAAAAATCAACTTCTTTAACTTATCACAAAACTACCTGGGCTCTTGTGTGCGGATCATTCTTTATGGCTCACCAAATTTGCGTGACCAACATAGCTCATTACTAGCTAATAGAGGTTTACAACATACATTTATGTAACAAGAAAGAGGCGCTGCTCGAAGTTGTTTTTTTTTAAACGATTGCATCAGCCAAGTATAAAGATGCGGCCCAGGTGCCCCGTAGTAGATTTTGAAATCTGGTTGTTTATGGTACATTATTTTCTAGCTGTCGCGGCAAGAGAGGTCAACACCCTTATGGCAAGTCACTTCAGCGGCTGTGAAACGTTACGTCTGAACGAACTCCAATGTTTTGTGTATGCTGAGCTCATTATCTTTGCTGGCGTAAGTTAACGAAGAAAATAATATTTTTCTTGAGTGAACTAATATAGAGGATGAAATGAAAATTTCCCGACCGTTTGAAAACGGTCAGTTTAGACCTCAAAAGGTTTAAATGTTTACTACGATTTACTTTCTTGCTATTTTAACATATATAGAACAACAACTCTGAAATTGCCAATTTTTTTTTCAAACTTTGAGGCAACGATTGTCCCAAATTGCGTATTCATTTACTCAAATAGGTTATTTTTTAGCCGGCGAATTATAACGCTGATCAACTGCTAACAAATGTTAATGGATCTAACATTTAAATCTTCCGGGACAAAATATGTTTGTTCAGTCGCAGCGTTCCGCAAATGTTGTGACCTTAAAATCTAATAGCATTGGGTTCTTCAGTAAAGGCTTTTATTGTGATGGATTCTTGACGTTCACAATATTTAACTGTCCTTAGTTTTTTTGGGTCTGGTTGTTTGGGTTGCGTATATTACAGTTAAATCATAAGCCTTATACATACCACAGATGAACCGCATGTATCTGAGAAAAAAGCATCTTGAAAAGAATCTAATACTCGAAGTTTCAGTCCTAAATCTGGGCATCACGGAATAAAATAATAGCACCAAGCACGGACCAAATATTCTAGTCTAACTAGTAGCCGTTTGTCATGTCCAGCTTATGGTACTACCATCATCATAGTACTATTAGAGATGTTCTAAACGATAACTTGGGTTAGTTAACTACATATTTCGTATTTCTGTGTTGATTACTTTTTCCAAGTGGGTGTTAAAGAAGAAGTTTGCCAAAAGTGGGTCCGAATCAACTCAGTTCCAGTCTTCTAATAGACTAATTCTTCTAGTGGCACGTATTTTTCAAAGAATATTGTCACTATCAGAAATGGTGTAAAAACCAAACTGGATTTAATTTTTTGAATGCTGAAGGCTAATCCTAAAATTGGAAGATGTACACGAGTCGGCTATTTGAATAAAACGCATTGACTGGCGGTCAGTTAAATCAAATGTTTTCGAATCAACAAACGAGTTCAACGAAATATTACAGTTAGAAAAATCTGTTATTTATCTTACTTTGTTTGACATTACTCGCACGCACTACCTTCTCTGCATCCATTATTTATGACCCAAACCTGATTGCACCTTTTAGCAACCTTATTCCAATTCGCAAAAAAATTCGCTGTGGAATAATTCTACGGAATTGTCCTATTATGAGCGTCCGCACGCTTGTTACAGTTTTTTTGTCTAAAGGCGGTGGAGGAGAAATCGCTATGGTTTGCAGGGAGAACTCGCTCTTTAATGAAATCAAATCAACGTAGGTTATTCTTTACAAAATGGACGATCAAGTAAAAAAACAGTGAATCACATTTTTTGACTTGTAATATATGTTTTAGGGTGGGAGCTTTAGTCAAATATTCGTAAATTGTGGCCATTTTAATCGTGGTAAAACTTTGCTTGAATGTATTTAAAATACCGTATGGAGCGTGTGAAAATTAAAATAGAATTGGACCAGCTCAGAATAACCAAAAGCTGAACCTCGATATGTGCAGAGATCTAGTTCTTGACCGCTTCAATGCAACAATTCAATATAATATACTTTAATGAAAATCAATTAATCTGCTCATTTAATACAGCAACCTCGTTAATTAAATACCGGTACTATACTGCCGAAAGGCAACGTTATCATTGAGTTCATCATTAAACATAAATAATAAGCGTAGTTTACAATGTCATTAAATAAATAGAAATATTCACTTCTCTTTGTTCATTGGAAATACTTGATATATCATTAACGAATACGAATGAGGTTTTTTTCTACTAATATATTTGGTAGAGGTTCATTGCTGATCTCCGCTTTCCTCACGGTGGCAAATATTACACTCAATATTACAATTCGGGCTTGAAACACCGTTTTTTTTTCAAAAATGATTAGTGTCAACCAATTTTAATACACCCTGCCGCGTACGTGCAATAAAAGAAAGTACACCTACAATGATATCACAAAACTTAAACTTGTGTTTTTTATTTACTCTTGCGAACGAAATTGCGAGCAAGCAAAAACAGATAAGTACATGTTGGGTTTCTTTATTTAATCACACGTTAATTATATTATACTATTACCTTAGTTATAATATTAATGTGACAATTGCATTGGTCGTGCTTAATAGCTACTACGGTATACTCTACGATGTCAGGACTGCAATAGCCGTATTAGGTAAACGCAGACAAAGAAAAATCTATTGAATATTTGTAAAACCTTGGAAATATGCTAACGCAGAGGGCTCCACTAATGAAGCCAAGGCTAATCGGTAATTGACGCCTATTATAGACATATAGAATGTGTTCTGCTCATCTCATATAGAAAATTCTTTAATTAAAAGATAAAAAAAAATACTTCAAATTAGCCCTTAAAGTGTACATTCTTAATGTGAACTAAATAGACTATGATAACAAATTAACGCAATGATTTTATTGTGAGCCTATAAGTGTAACTAATTAGGATTATGCAGTGTTAGCTATTTCTATAACAATCACAATTAAAGCACGTATTTTCATTTACTGGCATTGCGTAATACACGAAGAGTAAACGAAAAGACCGGGTTTATATTTGGGAAAACCTCGTCCTTAGAATGTGACAGATGAAACGTTTATGCAACGTAAACAACTATATATAAGTAGACAGATTGCAGGCCCTTCGACCAAATATAACGGGCTCATTTGTTCAATTACTTTACTTTGCGCTCTACAATAGATGGGAAGCCGCGTAATCACTGGCGTGATCGACAATGCAAACTACGCAATGTCTCTAGCGTACAGGTGTTCGTATTTCTCAACGCAGTTCCAACCAACGAATCGGGCGGTCGGTTGTAAATTTTTGTCGAGCTCTTCGATCCAGTTTTGTAACTGAAAGGTTGTTACAGAGTCCGCACTGCATTATTCGGTACTTCGAGTTCATTGTTGAGTTTACTGATGGATGTTAGTGATTGACCGCCTGCTACCAAATGATTCATTAATTAGTCAGACAAATGAAACTACACTGTCTCTAGGGCATTGTAAATATCGCAAAGCTAGGAGAGACACAGTGCAAGGTTCGCACACGGTACTAACCATAGTATGATTCTGATCAAGGTTCATACGGAACGATAAAAAAAAAACAACATTATTCCAGTTTATTGCAAAAGCTACACAAACTAATATCTTACAAGCATGAATCCGTCGTAATTGTTGTTTTGACAGATTATTCTGAGACACTCGCTAAGTGACAGTCCACCAAATAGTTCGGAGAGTGTAGTCCTGAACTCTTCGGTATACTGAAAATTTGTAGAATGCAGAAACTGTATGTAGATAAAGTTTTTGCTTTACTGAACATTCTCTTGAAGATGTACATGTCAGTCTTCACTGTGTCGCTTAGCTTTTTGAGTTCCATTTGATACGTAAAATAACGTCAACCTAAACTTAAGTCTGTGGCCATAATAAACAACTCGGATTCATTAATCCGTATTGTGAACTTCTGGAGTTGACCTTTGTTTACGTTTCTTAGATCCGAACTACGCGTACGCAATATTTACTTACATCCTTTGGTAGAAAGCTAAGAGTGCAATCCGTAACTAATCGAACGACATCCGTACTGTAAACTGAAAATCTGAGTTAGCTAATAAATAGCATCGACTTCAGTATCTAAATCGATAAAAGGTACTCCAGCATCAGAATAATTGTCCATTGTTTGTTTAGAGGATATAGTTGCAAAGGCTTCTTATTTACAAATAAAGTGTTGCCGCTAAAAGTACAAAGGTCTGATCTGGTTGAGCATTCGAAAGCCACTAACGCCAATTCATCCTCGTGTCTTCTCCTTTGAAATTGCATATGGCAGGCAATCTATGGTGGAAGTCATTTAGGTTTTGTAAGGTTTTTTTGCATTCAAAAACACAGAAATTAATCCTGATGACTTGATACGTACTCAGATGATAAACTAACACAAGTACAATCAAAGAAGTCATTTCTTGTCACAATGGTTCTGATGATTATAGGATGTGGCTGACAATATGCATACGGCTTTTTACAGGAATACGCGCAAGGCTAGTTTCTAACACTGGCAATCATTAACATACCGGATTAAGTTTCATGACAGACACCTACTGCAAAAATTAAAGTCAGGTACATTGGTCATCTTATACTCGTCCGAAAGAGTTTGTCCGTTCAGACAGTACACTCGTTCAGTGGACAGATACATGGCTATTATTACAGACAACATCCACATAACGACCTTAGGGAACATTATCGCAATGTCGACGACGAGAAACACAACAGTGTTAAAAATGTTTAGACAAATGGCTTGTTACACTTTTATAAATGCCAAAGTACTTTTTTATGCTAGGCCTTGTTTGCGTTTTTAGACAAGTTTTCCTTGGAAAGTTGGTTTTAATTTGTTTGATCAGCAGGAGTCAATAGAAAGATGAAATGGAAATTTACACAGCATCGTGTCTCTATGGGTGATTTTATTTTGAGACTACACTTGAGAGTGCTATATAAATCGGTGCTAGAAAAACTGGCCTTTCAAACGCTTTTGAAACTTAACAAAAGAAAAGTTTATAGCAAATTTTATATATTAGTATCACATAAGTGATACATGTTATTATGCAAGTAAATGTATGAAACAAGCATAGAAATTATAAAACCTACATTTTAACCGCGTGTCATATTGCTTTATCGTAAGCCATCTCGAGCGACCGAGGACCCCAAAGCCATCGAGATACCAGCTTTAACTTCCAGTTGAAGCTTAGTGATCTTGATATTCGCGGTAGTTCGACATACCGTTGTGCTTAAATAACGTAAATGTTATCCAAATCACTCGTGATTGAAATCAAGTCGATCTGTGCCACGCAAATAGTTTTTTTTTTTTAATTACATATCAACGGATCGTCTTAACATTGGCAAAAAATGTTTTCAAAAAAAAACATCCTGATCACTCGAATGTACGCGGAATATCGAGCTGTTTGTAATGCTAGATATGTGCACCCTGAGCGCATTTACTTCTAAATGAAGTGCCGATGTTCCTTATTCTTCATGAAGAGCACAGGAAAGAGCGGCAGTTAGAAGGAAAGAAAAAGGAAGCCTAAAATTAAGTAATTTCAAATAAAGTATGAGCAGCTAAAAGATCCGCAACGGGATTACTTCTCGTTGCAACACCACATTAGTTATTATACAAGCTTAGAAACGGAAAGAGAATATTGCCAATATATGAATAGGCATATATAAAAATAAATAATATTACTGACCATGAATATAGGCGTTGTTCGAGTCCAGTTAGTTTTGGGGTTTTAGAAAGAGTTTCTCTAAGGGAGTGGGATCCGTGTTATAGTTCATAGTATATCTCGAAAATTGCTGCTTCTCGTGTAATAAAAAGCTCCGAAATGAGTATTCAACTCATTTCTAGTTTTTGATGAACCTATACAAATTAGATTCTCAAAAACTGGTATTTTTACCATAATGTCAATGGCATGTCATACGGCAGTTTTCTTTTGTCTGCGAAATTCGCTTCATGTTTTCCTTGTTCTGATCCGTACCCCCCTCAACGCAATGGACTAAAACTTACTGTACTCGCTAACCTAGCCTCAGATTACAATTATATAACGACGAGTAAAAAAGAGCACGGCATATTTTGTTGCTAGGAGAAATATATTTATTGGGAGACGAGGTACACGAGTATCTTTTCGGAGTGACGGGTGAAATCCCCAGAAAGCATGTCAGAACGAGTTGAAGGTTGAATAAGTGTGAGATCTGATCTCGTTAAAAGTTGGTTTTGGCCAACGGCAGTTGACTCGGGAAGAGCAGCAAGCCGCTCGCGCTGTCGCGGCACCAGAAGAAATTCCGAAATATATAGCCGATTTTTCAAGCAAGTAGAAAAGGATCACTTCTGAAGATTGTGCGTCCCGAACGAACATACTTTGAAGAAGCATCCTTCTGAAATAGGCCACACGAAATATTATACAATAAAAGGTTTATAAGAATCTTTTTCACATGAACTCGCACGTCTATTTTTAGGGTAGTGTGTTTGTATCCATTTTAGAGAAACTTTGTGCTTGGGTTAGATGAGCAATGCTCGGTGTTACTAATATTGGCGTCGAATAAAGAAAATTTCAGGCGTTATATACTAAGTAATGATGTCAATAGCTATCAAAATTAATACAATGCTTGATGGTAGTATCGTACGTAAAAAAAAAAAGACTTAATTAAGCAGACTTAAAAACTTCACGGTATCTAGCATTAATTAGCACATTGTCGTTTCACCTTCCTGGCGAAAAGACGAATATTAGGGTAAAGAGACTCACTATTTATCAGTTTACTAAGCCTAAAACCTATACAGTGTTGCATTGATTTGGACTCATAGTAAGCATTCACAATGTACGATCAAAGCCTTCGGACCTGATTTGCAAGAACCGCATGACATGATTCTGATAAAGAAGCACATACGATTTTATGTTTATAACACGCTTAGAACAATATTGGTTTATTCGTACTTGATCCAATGGCGACTTTGGTATCTCCGCCGACGTCGATAATATCCCCGCTGGTAACGTCATCGCCGCTGGCTTTCACACCCCGCAGAAAACGACCCGATCGCCGCGCCATCATGCGAAGTCCGTCTTCAGACGTAGAGACAAGACGCGCCATCACAGCTGGCGAAGGTGGAAGCGAAAACCCCCAAGAAGTACTGCGCCACGGGGTAACATTTGATTCCGACGCTAAAAGCTGAAGAAGATTTTTGGCCTGTAGAACGAAAAATATGAGTTACATGTGGCTCGTAAAAAACGATCAAGGAATCAAAATCTTATTACAGTCTCAACTGAAGTATCAGAGTCTGGATAAGTTGTAAACACCATACTCTGAATAAAACCTGATTCTGATTTACCTATAGGTTAGCGATAGCGGGTAGGTGCTCGCCCACTTTTTTTAGACACACCTAATTTTTAGAGTCAGCAAGCAAACGGTATAACACGATAATGTCCAGCTTTTTATTATATCATGAGTTCGGAAAACTACCTAAGCGCCCTCGTTATGCCAGTTACAGCCGTCAAACCAACTAGCTGAGTATTAGCTGCACATTGCCTATATCACCTGTTGGATATGGTGCAAATAGTCACCTTCAACATAGAAGACATAAAGGTTGCTTGTCTATGAGGCACTGCGAGCACTTCTTGCCTTTGGTACTAGTGCTTCAGAGACTCCATAACCGGGAGATATCAGACATTTTAAGTCTAGGGTGGATAACGGCCAAAACCTAATACATAACGGATTTATTGATCGGTCAGCTTTACTTCTAAGTTCATTCAAACATAATTTGCGCTATGTGATTGTATAGTAGTTATCAAAGCATCGTAAATCAACTCACTCGGTTGATTGCGGTCGCGCTGATCGGAAGCACATCGGAGCTTATTTGAGCACTAGATTCCCTTTGGTCTTCGGACCTCCGCTGAGTTGCCAAATCATCAAATCTGACCGCTTGAGCGCCTAAAGATTGCAAGATCATCAAGGCGCACGCTGCAGCCAAGAGTACTGTTCGCCACAGAGTCCACATCACGAAAAGAGGCTTTTGTTTGGATATAGCGGACGTTTATATGCTTTGTCCGACTAATCGTGAGGACACAGCTTTTCAAGGAGCATGCGTCCTGCTTACCGATGGTCCGATATTGCAAACCCTTCTTTCTAATAAGGCCGCAAGAGCGGACTCTGTTGTGGATATCCGTTTTCTATGATGCAGAATCCGCCATCGCGGTTGTGGCATTGTTCGTCACAGGTACTCATAGCTAGGTCGCATTAAATGCAGCACTGACTTCTATATATCTACGTATGGAAAGACTAGGAAGCACATATGGAGAATAAAAAACGAATGTCTGTACAATCCAGAGGAGAGTCCTTGCTTTCCGCTTTCTGTCCAGAACTTGTTCACTGATGCTCCATATTTCTTCATCAAAGAGCTGAATCTATTCGTCGTCCATACACCCGCGGACCTGCCGCCCCGAATCATTCTGGCTTGCCTCCATCGTAGTTTTTATCTGATTTGTGCGTCCTACTGATTAATCTCTTACAGCAATCGGGCTCATATCGGGAGTAGGACAAGCGGCTTATATTCACAGAGCCTACTACCCATGTGGTATAATCAGCAGCCATATTTATTACCCTGCTACTATTATTATCAAGCAGGCATACACATACAGCTAGGTAATAGCCCAAGGTAGCTAAATTTAACTAAACCAAATGTATTATTCGTAAATCGTAAAATTTTCACCCTTCCATATTGACCATACGCTTTACTTAATCATTTTACAAAATCTATATTTATGTCCCTTATACGCATAGTTCAACCTATGTATCGATCAGTTTCCCTAACGTCTTTTTACCTATCTATAATGGAGTTTTCTCGTAAGAAACTGTTTCACATGTTGTCTTGGGGTTTTTAAGCTTCAGTCTGAAAATGTGCAATGCTTAAACCTGCGATAAATGTGGTAGCTCTATAAGTAATAGCTGAATCTGCACGGAAAGGGCCACGATTGACTAGTCGCCATTGGCAATATACAATACAATGCGATATGTATGATGATACAGACAAATGAAAATACGTTATTGCTAAACTGGAACGGTAGTTTTTACACTGTCGTATAAAACTGCGATAAAAAAAGAAGGCTCCTGATAGCAATGGCACTCAGATTCAAAAGAGATGTAGTAGAAACGTGGAAAAGCCAATCATCTCGATGTAAGAACTTGCCCTATTCCGCTCGAAGATTGTGTAAGATACGGCAAATTGTATAGCGGAAAAAAAATCGATTGTGCTAGTTTTCATTATGAGATGCGTGTTGAGTTAACACAGAGAACAGAGATGGAAACGAGTAAATGGTTTGCAATAAAAAAGACATACATAGATTACATCTAATTTATACCAATTATAGATATAAATAAAGTCTGAAAGTGAATTAATCATAAAAATTCATAGTGGTATATGTACCGACATCTTAACTTGAATTTAATCTTTATGCTGAAAAGTAACGCTACTGCTGTCGATTGTCGAGATGTGACGTTAACCGAAGATTCTCAAGTCTTCTGTCACATGGAGACAGCTACCTCCACCTCATGTTTGGTCTATTGTCGACACATTAGAGTATACCCAGCACATGGTAAAATGTCAATCGCGCTAGACACGTTCGAACAGAGTTCTTTAGGAGCACCACCTTATGCTACGATTTGCCATTGAATTGACAATATATTTGTAAAATTATCTAAATTGATAGATTGGAAGGACTCATTGTAATAGTGTCTGATTGGCCTCTCAATGCTGGACAGGCTACTACCCAAAGCTTGTTTTACCGTCTCAACGATACATAAATTTCTGCAAGGGTCACTTGCCTCAATTTAATGAAAGTTTTCTCAACGAGCCGGAAAGAATTTAAGGCTATTGTGCTATCTGGCTGAGGCCATATAGGGTGATTTATGATCGCTACACACAGACTGTGTGGACTGCCGAAAAGCTATTAACCGTTTTAAGCCAAAATCGATGACAAATATAAATTTCCTATACTGTTAAATAATATTACTAAATTAAATATCCACCCTTTCGATCTATAACCTTCTGCCGTTTTTAAATACTGTACTATTATTATGTGGCTTTTGGCCGAAAAATTATGATCAGTGACTTTCATACCCCATTCGGATTAAATTAAAGGACTTCTGCAGTGATCGAAACCGATGACGGTTTGACGGAGCAGGATCTGGGTTATAAGTCAGATGCATTATAATTACACATTGATATCCTCTTAATTTATGCCGGATCACTAAACATGTATCTGGTCATTGCGGAAGACGACGCGCTTTCTCAGTGACTCTGGTCGATTTATTTCAATAGCTTTCTGTAAATACGTCAATTGCTGACAATGGAAAGCTAAGTTAGTAGTTATTCGAAATGGTAGCCGCAACCCATATAGCCACTCAAGGTTCCTTTTCACTCCTACTAGGAATATAGCATCATCTTGTTTGGTGTCAGTTCGAACTTTGCCAAAGGTTATGGGACTTCTACTCGCTTTGGCGAAGATCCTTCTCACACTATCGTATGCGATCGATTTTTTATCTTCCGTGGTCAGCCGTTTTTGCAATGGCTCTATTTTGTTGCGTAGAGCTACGAGTCACTACGAGGAACATATTCACATCGAAATTTCTGAAACGAGGATTACAGAACCGTGCTCGTGCCATTTCTTTCCGTTGCACGTCTGCACTGTGAATGGCACAAATTTTTTTATGGCTCTGGGCAGGCTTTGCACCTCCATCATCATAAAAATTAAAAATAAGCTTACCTTCGGAGCATTTTATTTTGGAAGCGTTCTAGTAATGTAAGCATATCGACTACTATCAAACCCTAGCATTTACATGGCGCATCTTTAACCTGACACAATTGATATTACCTGAGATACGTAATTTTAAAGCAATCTAACTCGAAAAACGGTCAGTACCTTCCCGACGACCTAATAATATATAATTAACTTGGTGGTCATCTCAAGGGATGCTTCTAGATTCTCTCTTGGACATTCGCTGTCAGTTGCATGTAACAGTGACGAACGGAGCAATTTATGATACACTTAGACCTCTACCAAAGTTTCCGACCTTCCATATGGCGTATACCTTTCCAGATTGCGACTCTTGGGTGTCGCCAGTTTTGCAAAGCTCCCATGCTTCTGCTCATCGACAAACACATCATTAAAAAGAAAAAATATCAGTACGAGCTCAAAGGTCCGCGGCGGCTCGCGACCGTTGTTCCGCATATGCGACACGTCGACCACACGATAGACCTTTAGAAATTTCCAAATCAATGAAACATAGAGAAGGCTTTTTCAGGTCTACTTTTATGATTAAGTTTTAAACTGGAAAAAGTGCAAAAGTAATGACTGCACTAGTCACAGCCAGCTGATGATATTAGCAGATTTATCTTCGACCGGCTGCTATGGCTAGTTTGTACTGTCTATCTATAATATCATGCTACTTATACATGAGGCAACCTTCGTGTTTTAACTGTGAGCTAATTCTGCCAGCAGCTACAGGGATGTTTCATAGGCATCCCTGGTTCTCGCCTTACTTCAGTGTACTGTTGCCAAGTTCTAAATAATTTCTACATTGTCATATCACCGACTTGTACAACGTGTAGCGAATTAAAATGATAAGCATGTAGTTAACTATTTCCTTTCTAACCAACATGGGCGCCTAGCTATGCAAATGATCGACCATGTTATTTTGCGAGACGAGCGCGAATCCATCCGCTATAATTAAAGAACCATTCGAGCGGGATCCTGTCGACTCGCTTTCGCTTATCCGACCAGCATAAAATGATCGAGGGGCAGGAGGTAAGGGCAGCCCATGTTATTAGATGTTTACTATCGTACGCACTCTTTCCGTACGTCACAGGAAATTTTTCCCTACAAATTAACAAGTTTAGCAGGCAGAATATAAGCGAATTTGCCGGTGACTTATGTCAAGTGACTGATGAACCTGAAAAATTTTAATTCAGAATAGCTGATACTGATAAGGGATAACTTTGGCCTATCGAAGGCTTCGCTATTTTCTATTGCAAATTTAGATAGTATTTGCTTTTGTTGCTTGTTTCATTCTCATATAGGTTATTAGAAAAGGTGCAGACGAAACATCGACGAGCATGACGAAGGTTCGTCGCCATCATGTAGTGTGGTCCTTGCTTATTGGCTTAATGTGTGCAAACAATGCTTCCGGAGACTTCAGTGACTTAGAGAAAGAAATACTGGATGTACAAAAGTTCATGATACGAAAACTGTTGCCGCTAGCCCAAGATGCGATCGTTGACACAGAGACTAGCGCCAGCTGCGCAGGAGCTATGCTCAAGTTACTGAACGGCATACGCAACCGAGAAGCTTGGGCCCTCAAATGTAAGTCTAGTTCGACTGGCATATTAACTTACAACCACGCACATATTAATAAACCATTTCTAAGCGTCTAAAACATGATTCCATGGAAAATATCGGCGAACCTGCGTGATTCAAACGCTTGTCAGAGTAGTTCTTTGTTGTACTTCATCTGTACCCCTACATACGCTTTGCTGTCGTTTAAATCCAATATTCACCCGGTATAAAGTATAAAGGTGTTGCTGAATTTCTATCAGACGTGAAACGTAACATCGGTTACAGCTGTTACCGAAAGAGTTCACTGAAGACTAGTCTTTGTTCAGGTTTCCTTATCCACTAGGAAGAAGCTGAACCAATCATCACTCTAGCCTATTTAACCAATTGTATTCAAAATATAGCGGCGTTTCAATGGAAGGCTCACGAATCTATTGTCTTCATTCCATAGATTCCCAAATAATCGTACGGCGAAAGGCGTGAATGACATATTACAACCCATCCCTAAACCAAACAAAATGGCGACTGTCATTTCGTATATATATACACGTATCGTCATTGTGGACAAACCCTCTGAATTTGTCTGTAATTCGAAATATAACGTTATTCATTAGCCAACGAAAATTATTATCGAATCCAACAGACACATGATTCCTGTTTGGTTTAGTTATAGCAGAGCAAATGCCAAACTATCTTCGGACAGCCATAAGGTGAACTTTTGTTGTACTAATATAAGAATACTTTACTCACCCAATTATTACACAAATTCAGTAGACCTCTTCTCGGGCTTGGATGACCGAAATGGTCCACACGTCTTTATTAAGTATGCTATTATTGGAGCAAGCATTTGGAGGTAACCATCTATGTAGCAAGGGGACAAGCATCTCTTATGATTTAGATGCATTTTTATCATTTTTTTTTTGCAGCGGTATGTTATACTGTATTTGCGAAAAAACTGGCCATCCGTCTGCTCGATTTGCGTCATTTCAGGTTGAGCTCGAGTTAATCATCTCGATTTGGTTAATTTGCTCATGTCCTGATGAATGCCCATTTTCAGTAAAGTAAAAAAAAAACAACCCATGAAAGTTTTAAAAGAAACATTGGAGTCGATTTATGACGTTGTGATACGTTGAGGGAACGATAAAGGTAAAAAAGCTAAGTTTCGTATGACGCATTTACTTACTGTGGCATTCAATCTCTAGACGCGTTTGAATAGTATCCTGTCATGGCAACTGCATGGCAGAGGTACTTTGATCTGATACTGTATTCCCATTCACAGTTCTTACGAGTAACGCTGGGATCCCGTCGGCTGCGCTGTACTTTACCACGGGTGCGCTTGGACATTACGGTATGTGTGTCTCCTCCAAAGGCCCCGTGGATGAATCGACTACAAAACCTATCTTCACAGGCAAATTCTGTTCGCTCTATTTCACCAGTCCTTCAGGTCCATTAAATTGGGCATGGAACATAATCAAGGAAAATGGCGATGTGCATGTAAGTACGCTTTTACTTCTCCCATTTGACAATCATTATTATTATCTGTATCTGAAATTTGCTTTATTATTATTATTATTTGTGCTTCCAATGTAGACTTGGCCATTCAGCAGTGCCTTGGGGACCACATCTCCCTTTCCCCATTTAAATTATTCTTTATTGCCTGTAATGTTACAATTGATGGCGCGCAAATTACGTTCTTAATTAAAAACCTTTTAAATGCACTCAAGCCGGCGTGCAGATTTCAACAGAGTCTGTTACCTTTTACACATGAATCGACCTTATTTGAAAAAAATCAATTATTTCAAACAATGGACTCTTGAAAAAGCATCTTCGTAGGCACATATTTTCCTTGCATGCTTTTGTAGTTTATTAAGTACAAGATGCAACTACTTCAAGCACGCCTTAAAGTTATTTTAGTTTTAAGGATTTTAAATTAGTAGGCAGGACCAGTTCCGGAGTCAGAAGCCCACGTTATGAAGTGAGTTCTTATTAATTGCAAATGTAGGCGACAATCATAATAACATATTTGTATATTATATATCTGAATCGCAATTAGCTTAAACATGGAATACTGAAACAGACTTTGCTTTGACTTTACTAAACATACTTATAATTCTTTGCCGTGCATTTAATTTATTAAGGGGTTACGGATAACACATAACTAAGAATATTGCGTTCACTTCTTAACAGTCATTCAAGGATAAAACGTAGCCATGGCCGAGGCAGCGACACCTAGAATTATCTGTACTTAAAGAGATACGGGAATTGTGCTGCCCCGAAGTAATCTATACTCAGTAAACAAGTTTAAAAAGTAACAGGTTACAAGCTTGTGTGCTAGATAGAGCACAAATGGAACTACATAACTAGTCTAGGTTCGACCATCGTAACCATGCTGATTGATTTTCTCTATTCTACTGCCATTTACATGACGCTGTCTCGTTTTAGATCCGTTTTGGTGGGCACACATATTTTTGAAAATAAGTCGTTTCCTCATCAGATCTTTTGCCCTTCGATTGGTCGGGGCCGCTGTTAAAAAACAGCCAACATAGATTCTGCTATCCACAAAGAAGATGTCCTTTTTTGAGCATTACTATATTTGCTGCCGTCCAGTTTTCCTACGGAACACTTATAAGCGTTAATAATGAACGATTAAAGCACCTCTTTCGAGCCTATCGTACTTTTACTCTGGTCTGTTTCACTGATGATTTGGCTGGCTATCAAAAGCCGCTAAACCAATAACCTATTACGTGGTCTGAAAGGGACTGATGAAGAAGCTAAATGATGAGGAAACACGCAACTGTCGATGTCGTTAAAAAACAGACGACAACATTTTTCGAAGAAGTGCTAGCTAGCTAACTACCTAACAGCATCTGGTAGCGCGTGGTACGTCATAACAGGTTGTACAAACAAGTAATTAATTTCGAATTCACAGTCGAGTCTAGAATTTCCTTCAAGGCGGCACGTCTTGTGCGCCTACCTCGCCGGTCTTATTGATTTTCTGTTCTTTTTTCTGCTGTTGCTGTCCCTTTTCCACTGATTTTTGTATCGCCTTTACATGGACGCAGAGAGTTGTTCAAGAAGGAATTGTTCAAAAAACCAATGAAGATAATTAAGTAATAACGAATAAAGAGTCCTTCCTGTAGACGGCGATCTAGGGGCATAATATCGACGGAGTGCTGAGGCATGAGCACGGTGTCATCGCTATACATTGCACATTGACGTCGTAATAATATATTTTATAAGGAAATTTAAATAGTTGAATGTAGCAAACCACCACACGGCTTAATGGCTCGAGCTAAATTAAGGTATCGTCGTTTTTTACTTATGCTATATGTCATTGTTGTCAATGATATAGCACACAAGGTTACTTTTGAAGTGACGATATTTTCGGCATTACTGCACCGTTTGAACAGAGCAATATTGCAGAGAGATGCACGACATTTCGGATAAGGATTATTACCGATTATAGTTTGTTATGAATGATTACTCGGACCTACTACGTTTATTTATATTTATACATAAGAAACTTTATAACGATAGTGACACGGGCTTCTGCGCGCCCAAGTTGCTTTTGAAGAAGTGGTGCGCACGTTGTTGTTAAATCTTCCCGCTCTTTTCTCGAATGAAAGTCAATTCCTGAATGTTTCGTGCCCCGCCCATTCAGAAGCTGGCATCACATCGTGCGGCAGAACTTTTTGTAGGCCTATAATCAGAGCCTCTGACATGTCTAACTTGGTAGTAAATGATTATACGGCATCGGCTTCTTCGGTCACAACCACGATTTTTTGCTGGAAAGAAAAGCACTAGTGTGCCTCTAGTTTCGCTGCATGACTGACTTGTTGCTGCGAAATTATTAGTGGCCCATGGCTCCGCCCGTTGTGGAGCTGTATGATAGCAGTACTATGTTTATAATTTTTACGTAACTGGTGTTCCATAATCCTATATGGTTGCATAGCTGATATACATAGCGTCAAAAGGTAATACCGAAAAAAAAAAAAAAAAAACTATATTGAACGAGCAGACAATTTAACTAGCATTTGGCTTTTTTATAAATACATTTTTCACCCACGCGAGTGTACGTTATTGCCACGAAGGCTCGAATTCAAGAAAGAAAATTTTGCCAGCTCTACAGACAGACGAAGGACATAGACTGTGTATTACCTAATAGATACGATGTGAAAACTGTCATTGTAAAATGGTTTTTAGTTAACAATTTAATATCAGAGAACAGTATCAATAGGGAAGTGGACTAGGTATGATAGGTGCCACTGACATTCAGATCTAAAACTTGAAAATGTATTTGAAAATTATTCGTATTATTATGTGTTTAATACAAATGATACCGTTTCAAGATTCAGCTTCCACTACGTAACACGCATCGTTACGTATATACAATTCGAATCGACCGATAGAACAATACATTTTTTTCTAACTATTTTACATTGTGTGACAGTCGGTACCCAAACTACTAGGCGTAGGTAATAATTAGCATTCTTTTTATTGCTATGATATGATTTCGCTAACATGATCAATTAACGTATGACTGGTTCAATCTCGAAACATTACGGTGCGTATTTTCCAGTTAACGTCACACGTTATCGAAACGATGCCAAGTCCACTTTACCGTACGTTATCTGCCGAAGGTGTTCGCCTGTTTTCCTGTTAGATCTAGCATACGTTTTATAGGAGGAAGCAGCTTATTTTATGAACATTGCGAACGTAGCAGGAAAAATTACTATCGAATTGAAAATCAGCTACCACTTATGCTGCTTCCGTTTAACTGGATGAAAAGGCTCGGGACGAAATAGGACATTCACATCTGTAATCGTAGTTGAGACGCATCTGACAGCTGCGTATATAAATGCACATTTCACTGTTAAACTTTTCACGAAATTATTTGTTCAAAAAATGACAAGTTATTGCATCGCGGCTCTATATATAATGACAATATGTATTAAATTGTAACGAAAACTAGATAAACATAAAGCTGTGTTCTAATCTGCTACGCATTGGAGGTCCGCGTCTCTCCGCATGCTTCTTCGCATCTAACGACCATGACAGATTTCACGTGCTCCACTCCTACATCGAGCTCAATAAAGATAGGATAGAGGATAGTACTGGACGTAATACCAATGTACGATAAGATGTGAACGTAGACTATTTTCGAATCGCACTAGTCAATTATTCGAATCTGAACAGCACATGTATGTAGAGGGAGAGAGGGATGTAAACAATAACATCTTATCGCTTTCAGTGAGATTACGTTCGAAAAAAAGATCGTCTTATTTATAAATTGTGCGAATGGAAGATGTACAGGGACGAATAATTGAACACCCGTACAGCGCAGTTTGTGTAAATTGTAAAAAAAAAAAAAAAAAAAAGAATTATTTATAATAAATATCTTGTAATCTGTTTATATTTAACAGTTATGGTACTACAACACGGTCGCATAAGCGATGATCAATAGCTGATTGCGGACCCATTAGACTATGCCTGCCTTGCGTAGATGCCTTCGCTTTAATGGCAGCGATACTTTTTTTCGTAGAGTATTAGGTATTCTATTTTATTCAGTTGTATTTACTAATACAGAGATGAATCGACTGACATTTTTAAACAAAGAAGACGTAGATACCCATTGATAGAATGTTATTACTATTGCTTTTCACTGATGGAGCATGAGCTCTGCTAACTTGCCATCGGCGGTCGTCCAAATTGGTCACTGGCTGTGGCGAGGTAATCATCGCGTTCTGACGCGTTAGTTAGGCTGCGTTTATTCGTATATTCAAATATAATAACTTCTTCGTATCTGGCGTCTGCTTCACTGCAGCCTAATAGTTGTTTTGCTATTTTTGATTCAATAGATCTTCTTTAATGTATAAGATCTAGTGAGCTGAGTTTTCAACATGGTCTCATCATGTAGTGACCAATAGCTACCGACAGACCATTAGACAAACGAATTCATAGCAACCTTTGTTATAGCGGGAGCTCATATTGATTTATTTGTATGTCGAAAAATTTATTTTTACTTATATTCTTCGGGTTTACAGCCAAGTGCAATGCTGCCCTCAATTGTCGATTCAAGCTATTTGCGGGTGAGGATCCGCTTTGGAGTTTGTGTTCCGTCGACGTGTGAAACTGAAGAGTTAAATGCCTTAATCTCTCACGGTGAGTAAAAATTATGAAAAGAAAGAAAACTGCGACAATCGACCGTCACAAATGGCGTCTGTGTCCGCTAGAAGAAAAGCACTGTTATAAATCACAGTACTTGAATTCATTTTAATTCAACTCTGATAACTGGATATCAATTGCCTGTAACTAATGGTGATTCAACCTTGATCTTATTTTGTTTCAGTGGCAAACAAATATGAATATGAGAGTGAAGTGAGCGGATGCCGAACTCTGGCCGATGAAAGCGAACGCACGCCGACATTCTATGTGGCTATGTTTGTCTCGTTACTACCGACATATAAAAACAGCTAGCAACAGGGCTTGCGAACCAACCCAGATAGCACCCGGTCATTGAGAATAACGATGAAGACCGCACAGCGTTCTATCTATGCATGATCCAATTATATTGTGACGGTTCCGTTACACGGAACAGTTAAATGCGTAGTTAACAAATTGGCCATTTTTTAGCCTACATACTTAACGTCTGTATCAGTCCACTTAAAGGCAATCACTGGTATTGGTATCGATAGGGCCTCTTTGCGATTATTTTTATGAATAGTAGTAGTACGATTAGTCTATGTTAGAGTTAAAAGAAGTAGGAGCGATTTAACTGAAGGAATTGTCGAAAGGACAGGAAGCGGATTTAAATTTTTGTGTCTTTTTTTTTCTTTTCTTTTTTCTCATTTTAGATGCACATTTGGTTGCTTGGTCATTTTAGTTGCACTTTCAACTACCGCTGAGCATCTACAATGGGGTAAATCAGGTAAGGTTCTCTGTTAGGTACAAATCTTGTTCACTCCAGCCGCAGATTCATACTGAACATGCCAGGCTGTAACGGCAGTATTCTTTCTTTTTGGCCTTTTCAAGAGGCAAAAGTGCCTGTCAGTGTTCTTCATAAGCTTTTTATAGATCTTCAACGAAGTATTTGCGGTGAAGATGAAATTTTTCGTTGAGTTCAGGCTCCAACAATGGATGCGCCTAGCGAAAAAGGTGCAGCTTTGACATCTGCTCTAATTCGCCTAGATCTAAAAGCTGTCTAAATAGCCACAGATATTTGTGCTACACCCATGACTGAAAAGATTGTTTAAAATTTGAAGATTAGGTTCCAGAGTGACCCCTCACTACTTGAGGTACAATCGTCTATTTACTTTTCAAATGCGAGTGAATACTGCTCAGCTAACAGAATTGATTCAATCAACTCGGGGTAAAGTTTAACCGCTGTAGTTTGAAATTTAAAAAAAAAAACATTTGAAATACCCACGATAGGTAGATTTTATAAAGAAAAGAGAAATTTTCTCTAGATAATGATGTGTGACATGAACACTTCTCCTATAAGGATGAACAATATTAGAGACCGAAACACGCAAGTTACGCCTATATCCGAACTCAGCAGGAACTTACTGATCAGTTGAAACTAGCTCGAGAAACTGTTTTAAAATCGTCCGTCTTTTTTCTGTATATGTGAGAATGTTCTATTGTGAATGATTGGTTGTTACGCCTTTTGAACAGTCTAACTACAGAGTACTAATCTCTGTCTCTACTTTGTATGAAATAGAATTAAATTATATTTAAATCTCATATATTTGTCAACGCCAGGTGCCGTTCTTATGTCTGTTCACATTTTGCAGGTGACTTCAGCTGTGTGTTTTCGTTGATCTCGAATAACAAACATCTGTTTGCAGCAACGACTGAAAAAAATCAAGCGCTGGCATTTCTTAATGGAGTTAAGGCATTGCTGTCGTTTTGGATAGTCCTCGGTCATACGTATTTCATGGTAGACGCTTATACGATATGTACGTTGTCTCAAAATAATCACAAACAGGCAAAATATAATAGGCATAATCTACATTTAGGTAAGCGGTTGGCAGAGCTAGAGCAAACCTAGATAAGTGTTGCGTAGCGGCAGACAGCGGACTCTGTCATGTCAGGCCTCAGTACGCTGTCGGATAGCTGTCAGCATACGGGACCTGCTCGATACGAGCAATCTTGAACGGAGGAAAGTTGGGACGGTCGCTGCCCGAGGATTGAGGCTTACGATTAAGGCTTGTATACTTCAATAACATCTATTTGATTTTTGACGTACTCTGCCGTTTTATATATATATTGGGCTGTCAAAAATGTATTATCCTTTTCCTAGGCTAGATGGCTTTAAAGTCACTCATTTCAGGTAATATGGGTCCAAACGGGTCGGCGTCATTTGAAAGCTGAAATTTGGAGTAGTAGATCTGCTACCGTTGCTGCAATGGCTCTATTCGGAATTGAGATAGCGCGTCTTAGAGAAGACTAGTAAAATGTGATGTGTATTTCAGTTCACTGATTAGCCCAAAGAGGAACGCTAAAGTCTTTTTGTTCTGAAAGTTTCGTTGTGAAGGACACTTCTTGTAGGGGCTGACCAATTACAATAAAAGCTGACAGAATTATTGAGCCAAAGCGATAGGTGACAGGGCATGAAGTTATTAAGGGACTACCGAATGGTTCAAAGAAAGTTGACTACAAAGACAAGTTCCATGTTTAGGTGGCACACGAATTAACACAAAATAATTCACTCGATGGTATTTTCATCTACGAAGCTTTAACAATGAAATGGAACTATTTTAAAGCGATTTATCATAGCTGATTAAAAATTGAGAAATTAAAAATAGATCTCATACAATAATAACATGCTCCACATTTTCATTGCTCCACACAAATATGCTTCACAAAAACCCAGACTAATGCCAATGAAAGTGTGCCAAGAGACTGATGGGACTGGAAAAGAATCGTGCGTTATGAGTTGCTGCCATCTGGCAGAACAGTTGATTCGAACCTCTGCTGTCAACAACTAGAAAAACATCGAAAAAGATCGATCGAAATAAAGTGTTATCTTCCACTACGATAGTGCCGACTCAAGAACATTTGAAGTTACTCGACAAATTTCGATGAAATTTTAACGCACACACATTATTATCTTGCTCATACCTAAGTTCTATGACTGTATTCAAAAACAGATATCTCAACGAAATGTGATACATATATTATTACAAATGTTATTCCTGGCAATTTCCTTAAGTTCAAGTTAATTTAATTACAATTTGCCACGTTTACACCTTTAGGTTGACGTAGTTATTTTCAACGTAGTTTTTCTTTAATTTGCACATAGCTTTTTAATAGTAACCGCGCGTCAAGCGATGTTGGTAGGTGTAAACTCATGAAGGTGTCACTCAATTACGCTACCCGTAAAACATTTCAACGAGTTAATAGCAACCCAAATATCCCAACGGTGCAGGGCTTTAAAACGGCCAAGAAGTCCAAGCGGTACAAGAAAGTGTCAGATATCTAAAAAAAAATCAACTGTTTGACCTTACCTAAACAGCTTAATTGATAGTTAATATTCCCTCCCCCCCCCCCACCCGCCCCGAAACGACCGTTAGTCTTTGTGTCAAAGATTCAGGTGTATTAAAAATTATTTTTTCAATTATTTTGATTGATTTTTAAGCCCATGAAATTTCAATAATATTCTACCAAAAAGGAACTTTTAAAAATTACGAAAGCCACCCTTTACCTCACAAAAATCTTCCTCGGATTTCTCATAAGCTGCTTGAAAATTGGCAAAAACGTAAACCGTCGATTTCGGGCAAAAAAATCTAAATGAAGTTCACCTAGAAAGTACGTAACAGCTCACTTTTGCTCAAATTGCGCAAACGAAAATTTTTTACTATGGCAAATTAGCTGTCTTGTTCTGGAGGGAACAGACTTCTCTGTACCGTGACAGATGAAAAATTTTTAATTTAGTTTATATTGTCTAACTGCATATATTATTAAGTGTAAACGCGCTTCGTAACACAATGACCCTTACTATCTAGAGAATATCAGGCCATAACCGCGCTGGTTTCTGTACATCATCGAAATAACAGAAAGGTCACTAAAGGTCGAAGAGAGCAAGCCTAGATAATACGGACTCAGCAGTGATTACCTTGCTGTCGATGACTCAACGCTCTCAGAACGTTGTTTCTGCGAGAATTTCGCATTCCGCTAAAAGGATCCATAAATTCTATAATATTACAGTGAATTACCGGTCAGATCACCAAAGATATGTAAAACCCTGAACAAAAAACGGGAATGAGAAGTTACGAAACCTATCCTGCCTTTGGGTATCAAAATGGTTGGATACTATTTTCCAAGCATTCAGTACCACTTGATGTTTTTTTAACTTCAACTTCAAATCGGCGTTTGAGACGCTCAACCATCAACGAAACAATATATAAGATAAGACCTCGGCTAATGAGGTGAATGCAGCCTTTTCCCACCGTCGGAGTTTTCGCATCCGCGCGAGCTCTATCTGCACTAAGCAACCGATACTTGCTTTCCCCAGACAGAAAAGTAATATTAGGACCACTTGCTACTATTTATCATGTACGCAAATTCACTGATGTACATTGATCCTGATACCAAAACCATGGACGTATCATGACCGTCGAACTATGTAATGGTGAATGATAAGCGAAAAATTTTTGGCCGTGTGCACTGAGTAAAACAATCCTGAAAACAAAAAACAGATTGCATTGGCCGTTTTAAAGTAACACCTATTAGCCAAATGCATGACCCAGTCGACGAGCGTCAGATATAATGACCATGTGTCAGTGAACATTGTAGACCTCCTCTCCAGAAAATTCAATCATTTCTAGGCTCCTTTCTAGTTAGTAAAAGCCAACTCTTGCATGCAGTTACCTGAGCTGATTTTCACGTGTATGCCTTCAGTATGGAGCTAGGTAAAGACAAGGCTCACACAGCGTACAAAAGATGCACGAACGTTCCAAATAGATTAGCGGATAAATTACTGGCCTTTAATACAACCTCTACAGTTACCCGACGATATACAGCCATGAAAAATGCAACAAAGATCAACGCGAACGACGTCTCGGCTTGGCGGGCCCTTCGGCTACATCTTAATCCTGCTTCTTGTTGCCTTTTGTTGTGTGTTGAACTATATACGCGCGCACACACACTATACCCGGCCATTGACTTGATAGTAACTTATTAAAAAATATCCTCGAACACTTAACAAAGTAACATTTTGCAAGCAGCCTGAATAAGAAGTTGGCAATGCCATCATAACATATAGTCTTCTAAACTGTTGCCAGATACACTCAAGGAGGCGTACGATGCTATGAAGTCGGTATTTGCTCAATTCGTCATCACTGGGGCATTCTTGGGAGTAACGACCTTCTTTTGCATCAGGTGAAAAAACCTTTGGCCTATCCGATGATTAACGTCAAAACGTTTAACATTACGTTGTTGTTTGAATTATTTACATACAAGGACATAATGACCTTAGGGATCTTGCTATTTTAGTCAATTTAGAGTATCCCTACATTTTACTGTGCCCTTTCGGGGCACGCACATATTAATACTATAATCAGTAATAATAGCAGTTGCGTAATAATTGAAAATTTTATCTTGTTCGCATTAATCATACTTACCTTATCTGCGAGCGTTCTTTTTTGTAAACCGTAAAGTAAATGTCTGATTCAAGTGTTAGATATGGCTGCATTCTGACATTTCAGCGGTTTTCTATTTACACGTGGCCTAATATCATACAAGGGTCCTTCTATTCCGGCTGTGTTCATCTATGTGGTGTTTATGGTTCGCCGATACGTCCGCTTGACTGTTCCATCAGCGGCCGTGATACTCTTCGGTTACATAATGCGGGCCTGGGTAAATGGGCCTACAGCTGACGGCGCATTCCGAGTTTACACAGAAGCCTGCGACACCAACTGGTGGAGGATTTTCGCGCTCGCAAATAACTTTGCCACACTCGAAAATATGGTGAGTGAAGCAATCGAGCACTAGAAATTAGGAAAGCAATAAATGTCTATCGATTCCTTCATTGCTCGCTCTAATCCATATTCGAATATCCGTGATAGATGTGAGGGCCAGGCTAATCTAGTTAGATCAAGATTGTTATGCTAAACAGGTACACGCATCTAAATAGCATCAATTAATGTTCAAAGTCAAGTTTCCTCAACCGAAAATTAAGTGTTGTGTGATCTGGAAAACATCGCCTCTATGTTAAAAATGGGAAAAAAAGTTCGTTATAAACTTTAACTTCAACTAGGACAGCAAGGAACCTTTCTGGACATCGGTTGAGAATCAGTGAAACATTAAATGCTACGTAACATTTAGCTCGAACTGTCTAGGTTAAATGGCGTTTGAAGGTTTAGTTCGGTTTCAACCTGAAAAAGCCTTCAGAGAATAATGCATGCACGATTTCATAACGGTGGCTTGAAAGCGCAAGGTAGTTAATACAGGGGCATGGAGTAAAGTTACACAATGATAAGAACACGATAGTAGATAATTTGGATAAATTGGAGTACTTTGGGATTAATTAGTCTATTAAATCGTAAGCTAGCGGATGTGATCGAATGATATATTAGGCTATTACAAGGAAATCAGGCGCAATTTAAAATTTACTAGGTTTTAAACTGGCTGGGCTAGAACGACGATCGTCTATTATACTCTAGGGGTACTCTTCGTTATCTTTGCACACTCGCCCCAACGTCGTGGCAGCCTCTAGACAGCCATAAAACTACAAATGGGTTTTTCATATGAAGTTTTTCTATCTATGGCTTCTCGAACTAAATCAACAGTGGGATAGGTTGCCCTTTTAGAGCATGAAATCATACGGACCTGAAATAAATAGATCTTAGAAAGGAAAGCAGCGGGCTAAAGCCACCTTGGACATTTTTTGCTCAATATAGGAGGTAACTGGGTCATGACGATTACACCTGAATTTTCATGAAGTGACCAGGTCGCACGCTTTCGATCGCTGTGCCGACGGTCCATGAGGCTATTGGGAAGCTTAAGACAGCAGGTTGCATTTATTGATTTATTTTGGCGAGTAGCCTATAGACGCACATTCTTAGACGACGGCGAGTAGGACTATATAACTTCGACATTCATATAGAAAACATTTACAGAAAAAGTATTGTGCATGCGTAATGATGTTAACTATCATGAAAGTTAAGTGCGGCAGCTACTCAAACCCAGGATCAATAATAATTATAATAGTTGTCCTGTATTAGGGGGGGATGCAAGACTTCGAGTTAACCCAAAAGTTGCTATACCTTTTGGCATTCAGAGCAGTCCGTTAGCTTTATTTATACATTTTTTTCAAGGTTAATATAGAAATCTCGCTTAGGGGCACTGGGCTTCACATATGAATATTCGCCATAGTAGTGTGGGATCTTAACCGTTCGTTTGTGCTTTCTTTCTGATGCCCATCCTATTCTATGCAGATACACTTGGAAACATTTGTGGCCTGTAAAGACCTGTATCAGGTAGCAGCTCACTCCTTTAAGGGTTTCCAGTACCAACCTCCAATCCTCCTTTAATTTCTCGAGAATGTTCTCCTTTTCCGCGGGTGAGCGTCTAGTCCTTATACATTTATTCCCGTTTTTTTGATTCTGACTTTTGACCGTATGAGTGTATTCACGACAATGAGAACGGATGTCGAGGCGATTTGAAATGCTCTATTTATCCGAAGAGCGCGCGTTTATTGGTCCTTCTCTGGACAACCTATTTCATTACATACCGTTTGCTCAGACCGAAGCTGCGTAAAAAATTACAGCATTCGCCACTGAGACAAGTTGTTTCTGCCGTCTCAAGTAACTCGAGTCCTAACCCCAGGCAAGAGCCTGCTAGAACCCTATACGACCGATGCTGAACATTGCGAGGGTTCCAGTTGGGCCCTAGTTAAAGCCCCCCAAACACGTCATTCAAGCAGCACAAGAATTACTTGTGCTGGTTGGATTACGCGTTCAGGTCCAGGTTGATCTCGAAATTCCGACACGCTGCTTGCCGTCGGAACACACAGATTCGTTACTTCGATCAGCCTGATGGGTAGACTACTAGCTGACGTAATGACAGCTATCTTAAATAGAAGATGGTGCGAACACCTGTCAGACGATTGACCTGAGTGTCGTTGTGCAAACATGGCACCCTTTAATTAATAGCACCTTTATTTTATTTAACTAATAGAACCTTATACTTACTATGCTGTTATATATTGTTGTTTTTCAGTGTTGGTATCATTACTGGTTCATGTCAGTGGACATGCAAATCTTTAGCGTAGCACTCGTCTTCGCTTTGATGATGCCCAGGTAACTTATTGTCATAGTTTGACGAGCCGAAGTATTGTCCTACAAATCACACTAGGTTAAACCTGGTAGTTCGAGTTCTGCTTATAAACACTAGCGTTTATGTATTCGAGCAGTTATTAAACGAGATTTATCGAACATAGCTTCGATCTTACTTTACATTTACTACTGACGTTGCCGAATCAACTGGAACAAACAAACTTATTATATTGATTAACCAGTGTGTTGATTTTACGTACTCTCCTGCATTTACAGACGGCCAAAATTGGCGATTACCATTCTAGTTTTATGCGCCCTCTATAGCTGCATCTGGATAATCGATACATCGCACCGGAACAAACTTCAAGCAGCCCCCATCATTAACGAAAATTGGGCGTTAGTATTTGCAGAACCCATATTTATCTATATTGTTATCGCAAAGGGTGCGTTGGCTCGCCATATTAAGCTATTCTGTATTCATAACAATATTCGTACGAAAAGTATGTGATGTTATTAATAGCAGTCGTAAGGTTTATATAATGTTGCATCTATTATAAAAATTGGAGTGTGATCACTTTCCATTGTTGAATTAGGTTAGTTAGTGATTACTGTGCTTGGCCTTTGCCTTTGCAGGCAACCTGCGACGGCATTTACTGACCGTTGCAGGACTGATGTGTATCGTTTAGATATAGCCGTTAGGAATGCTGTACAATTAAATCCTACGTGTGCCTTTATTCGTTACCCTTATACGCTTCAGTGTGCTAATATCGACAAGAGGAATATTGCTGCAAGATAAATTTACTTTACGTTGTTACAGCCAATTGTCAAGATTCTTGTACCTGATGTATGTCAAGGCTTTTACCCACTTCAACGCGTGTGTTATAGGCCTACTAGCAGGATTCGTGTATGTGAAAGCCTACGATATGTACATTTCTAAGGTGAGAACGTTACAAATGGAACTCGTTCATTAGCAAAATATATAGTTCTAAAATGAATTTCTACACCGGAACGCTACGTATATGTCAGCGTGAAAGCGAAAGGGGAAGAGTATTGGCGGAGTACTCGGAAGATGTCTAAGTTAAGTAAAAAAAAAAACTACTAATAAGGGTAGCAATGAAGGCAGTAAGATAATTAGTAATATACCATTGCTGCAATTATTATGCGCGGCTTATTTCAGACTGTGCAGTGCGTTTCGGCAGTTCTCTGTTTTGTAGTCATGGTCACCATGATACTAGCTACTCTACCGTTTTACTACTATATTCCGGTACCGCGTTACATTGAACTGTTCTACGCCGGCTTCCATCGAATCGTTTGGTCGGTGGCTGTTAGTTGGCTTTTCTTCCTCATGGGAACTAACAGAATGCGTAAGTATCGTATTTTGCACTGAGAGATAGGAACTATTATCATTATATATATATAGAAACCCTTTCATTTTTCATATATTCGGGATACGTTGTCAACTGTCAAGTGTTCTTTGACGTTTGTTATACGATTAGAGTGAGTATTTAAGCCTAATACAGTTCTCATTAACTGTTATGGAAACTTTTGCCAGTTGTATTATTGCGTCCATGCCCACCCAATAGACGCCCATTTAAGTTATTGTGCCTGTTGAAATAGCTGATGTTTAGTACTCATGGTTTAGTACTCATCTATTTGAAAAAACCTGTCTGTTCGACAGAGTTTTTCAAATAAATACATCTCGATAATCGAGACAAATTATAACTGATTGTAAATAAAAAAACCTCTTTCGAAGAAGCAAATTCTTCGCCTTAGAATTATCATAGCATATCAGACAGGCCACGAAATCCAGGAATCTCGTTTTTAAAACGTGCCTAAAGCATTCATCCGGCACCTAAGCTTACTTAACATGACATAATGTATATATATACATATGCAGGGATGGCGGCAAGAACCAGCCGGCTATTAGATATACTTGTATTATTTCTCTACTGTGACAAACGAGACAAATGGACAGAGAGAAAAAAATAGAAAAGTCGATAAAAATTCGTTCAAGTTTCACTATCCTAAAGATACGTGGCGAAACTAACCGAGTGTGTTCACCAGCGGAACGAGCACATTCGACAAGGTGGTCAGTCACTCACGAACTCTGGGCAAACTGGGCACTTTGGGTTTGGCAGTTGAAAAACAAAAACGCGCTGTAAGGACGCTTCTCCCGCTATATGGCTAGTATTGATATGTCGACCATCCGCATATTTGTCATAGATTGGATAAACAAAAAATCTATGGTCATAGAAGTTGTCAGAATAGGAACAAAGTACTGTACAATTATTAGCAAGCAGTGAGACAAAGGTTTTTTCAAACTTATACGATACGTTCTATCTATTAGAGAATGGGAGAATCTCGAGGCTTGGCTTTCTCTAGCTTTGGAAGCTTCAGCTGCTCTTTTCTACTCCCTTTGTTTACTGAACATTTTACGCAAGTCAATGCATCATACTTTGGCAATCTGAGATCACTGAGCGATTAGCTATATCGTCCGAAATGCTCGACACTACAATTGGTCAAACGGTTTGCTTTCCTCGTCCAGCTGCAGAATGAGCGAGCCAAAGCTTTCATCAGCTTATTTCCCTATCATTTTTTTTTTATTTTTGCCGTTTGTCTGGCCAGTTGATTGATTTTCATGAGACGCCCATGTGTAGTAATTACTTATTCGAAAAGTACGCCCTCCGTCAAAACTTGTTACCTGCCTATGTATTGGTTGGAAGCTTTTGATAATTAATGTACATATTTGGCGAAACAAATCAGCATACAAGGATATCTATCCTTATAGAATATATTAAGATAAAAGGAGATTTTCCGCTCGGGGTGGCATTGAAGTTCGAAACGTTTCTAGCAGCTTAAGTTTACGTTTGAAACAGTTTGGTGTTTTATGACACGGCTTCGTTGCTTCTTGCTCATTTTTCAACTTAATGTCCCCTTTTAATTGGTTTGCTTCGCGGTAAGTTACTTTCTTTTTCATTTCTTTTACGTTGATTATCCGTATGGTGATTTCTGACATGCTCAATTTTTTTCTGGCTATACACAGCTGACAACACTATAGTGAAGTTATTAGGTATCAGCTATAAAAGTACTTGATTTTTTCTACTTTACCTTTGCAGAATGGCTGTCACGTACTTTGTCATTACGCCTATTCGTTGTCCTTGGCCGGCTTTCCTTCTCAACATACCTGATCCACGTCCCATTACTGACCTACTACATGGGAATAAATACTGTTTATGTTCAGATAGAACACTCTAAAATGGTACGTATGTGAACGATGATTTATTACCGTTTATAAATAGTCAACGTCCACGGTTCCTCTACGCGCTGTAAGGACGCTTCTCCCGCTGTACGGCTAGTATTGATATGTCGACCATCCGCATATTTGTCATAGATTGGATAAACAATATTTAAATGAAAATAACTTTCATTTTATTTGAAACAGTTACGCACAGCTATCGGAAACTATGTCATATCTGTCGCGCTTGCATACATCCTTCATATGATGGTCGAGGCTCCAACGATGCAGGTAGAAGCAAGATTATTCCGATTTATCAAGAAGGCAGAGATGAAGCAGGCGCAAAACGATAACAAAAATCCTGATTTGCACCTGTCCGATGTAAAGGTCCACTCTGCTACAAAGCTTTAGTAATACCCTTGTATATGCATTGTCAATACATCGAAAGTGGAAAATTGAATAAGATACCTTGAAGCCTAACTTTTATATCCTATACATGTGAAAAGATCGACACAAAATCTGTAAACGACATCAACTCTGTGTGTATTTTTGTCAGAGTGGAGATTCTCCTGTAAGGAAGTCTGTCCATTTACAACATCATCGCTCTCTTCTTCATCCGCTTCGATAAGTGCATCAAATTACCCTATTGCATTAAGTTTCTAGCTTTACCATGAATATACTTAATGCAATTACCAAACTACGATCTCTGAGTGAAAAACGATACAGATTTTGTGTCAGTCTGGATCATTAATGGAGATGTGTGCAGTCAGTAAATGTAACATGATGTGTAACACGTTACATTTTTATCCGTAACGAATAAATCCGCGTTTGTCATGCCTTTCCCTTCATTCCTTCTGTGCAACTAGCTAGGGTTAACCGTCTGCAAATACTAGAGTAAACAAAGTGCTTCTTTCACGAGTCGTCTGCTCGTCACATGATATTTGAAAGCAACGTATTGGCGATCTGTGCAACGGTGCAGAGTTGGTAATAGAGAATTTCAGTTATACGCGTTCCTTTACAAGGTCTCTAAAGAGCGTGTTTAGTGCCTTCATGCTTGTAGTGTTAAATTAGTTTTTGGGACATAAGTATAACGGCACAACAAGTGACCTAGCTTGGCCTTAAGCGTGTAGGCCTGATGCCAATAAATGAAATACCTAAAAAATACATACGCAAAGTTTTTTCTTTAACAACCCAAGCTTGTATACATCGAGGGAAGAATATCTTATATACATCTGGAAGCAATCATCTTCTCCGATTGGCATCAACGTGTCCCATTCGAACTTCTGACTGAAATCCGTGCAAGGAGCATCAGTGGAGATGTCAATGGACTTATTATTGTTATTAGAAAATGGCTGTCGCGTTTTTGTCGGTGTAAATATTAGGTCAATTGTTGTTCGGCATCTGTAGCGTTCGCTTTCCTTTAATAACATTCTTCATAAAAATCATAACAGCTAACATTCAAATGACGCATAGTAACTCACGTGAGAGATACATTGAAACTTACAAATAAATAATTTTTTTTTTTGGAATCGGCAACTGTTTATTGGAAGGATGGGCATTATGATTTGAATTTACGAACAACGGTGAATTAGCTTCTGAACCAGTAGAGAGGTACCCTTTCAAATAGCTTCATAAATAGGTCGACCTACCAATATGCCAGTAATGCCGGAGAGCCATATGCGGACGATGGGTGGGCACGGGGTTGAGCGTGTGTCCGTCGTGTAGCAGTGTCTTACAACTTTCAAGCAGCGAAGTGTGCCCGGCTGGGGGTCGGCCAAAGGAAATATTTTACGTAACTAACGTAAATCGTCGTGGCGACCTACAAAGCTAGCATTTTCGACAACATACCTAATCACTCATCCATTTAAGTTATTAACTCGTACTCATCGCGTAGTAAGTGTCATTGAAAGGACTTTTACTAGCGATTTAACCAAGGCAAATGCTTCATGAATTATCAAATTGTTAAAAACGAAACGCAAATTTTACGAGGATAGTTTCCACATATATATATATATCGTTTGGCCAAATTACGATTTACACATCTGCTCAATCCGTCTCAATCCGCAAATCTTACGGCGGCCATCTTCTGAAATCTGCATCGGCATAATCATTATGCTTCATTCCCCAGAGCTACTTTTTGCACGACTACAGCTTCTATGTTGAACTGATTTGCTTTATGACAATTAGCGTCGTATACTCTAGTCTCTTGCGTGGGTTGGCTAATGGTCAGGATTTCAAGGTTCTTACTTCGATTATATTAGCTCTTGGTTTTTTTCTCTTGTCAGTAATAGTTGCAAGAATATGTGTAGCCAAATGCCATGGACCACAATGCCGAAAGGATATGTCTTGAGGATGCGTGACAGTTACGAGGTCGAGCACGAGCACCTCTCACAGCTATATTTTACGAGTTCTGAGAACGAGATACAGCATGGCACTCCTGGCCAAGAGAAACAACATAACTATTTCAGAGTGGCGGTCGAATATTTTGTCAATGCAACCTTTCGTCTTTTTTGGGCGACTTTCCTTTTGTGCATATCTGGTACGCGTTCCGCTGATGAACCCCCTTAAGTCGGCATTGTTGCTATCCTATTCGTTCGCAAACCTACGATTGGTAAGTGGCTGCTAGCTATTCAACATATGTTATCTAAACAAAGTTTGTTTTTGAGATTGATTTTAATACAGATGGACGAGTACCGTTTTATAGTCGAGCGAAGGAGTCAGGCCTAGTGGGGTAACTTAAATATTGAACTGTAACTCCAAGCATCTTATCTGTAACATTATATTTATTTCAGATATACATGGTAAGTGGCAACTATTTAAAGAGATTGGTGCTTGCCCATCGGCTCCATATGGTGGCCGAGGCGCCACTGAGTCAGCTAAATGATCTTCGTTTCGGACCATCAGAGACTGCGGTCGTCAACCTAACAAATGAAGTAAAGTCCAAGGCAAGCTTAGGAAAACAAACAGTTCGTTGTTTATTTGGGTGTTTGCTGTCCGCTCATTACCATCCAGAGCTCAATTTTTTTAAGTAGAGCTTCAAACCTTGATGCTGGAAGCATTGGTGTATCAACTTATTGCCGCTTTTCTCTTACTATATTTCACCTCTTGTTTTCAACATATCGACTTTTATATTGTCCCCTTTAAATGTCTAGGCACCCAAGGAAAGACTATGGTAAAACGCTGTCAACTGTGGCAAAAGGAATAATAGTTCGACTACAACGGGAACAGTTGGGCACAATAGATGAAACTCTTTGTCTTTACTGACCGCTATTCTATAACTTTGGATAGGCCCAACAGATTAAGTCTTGTGTGTTATAGAAGTACGTACGCGTGAATATGATCATTAAATGTATGTGTTTCGCGCGTTTTTTTCGCGCGCTGTACGAGTGATCACCCAGCAATATGCATACATCCAACAAATAGCATGCTTTGCATATGTCGGCCACTCTGCTAAATCTTTAAATATAATATGTCACTATCAATAGCCATAATAAGAATGTATTTCTATCGGTGATTAGCTGGACAAATATAGCGAAGCGTTAACACTTTTTTTTTTAATTTTTATCAACTCTGTTCAGTAAACAGTAGACTATGTTACATGACATTCTGTGAAAAACGTTCGATGCTTGTTTGGCAGCTAAAATAAATGCCAATTATACTAAAATATTAATTTACAGGGCCGAAGTGCGCTAATAGATTAAAAGAAGAAACCGGGGGGCAGCAGAGTCATTTCCGACTATCGAGTACTTCCCAACGTGGTCAATTGCAATGCACCCCTGACCCGTGCTAACCGGACATATGACAGATAAAATAGTAAGGCATCATGTCTGAAGCATGATGCAACCGTTACTTCGCCTACTCCCTTTTCAAGCGGGATTAGTCATCGCATCAATTTGATAGAAATTTGGGTCGGAATATCTCATGTAGTCGTAGATGAAATGTTAAGAGGCCTCTGTTTCTTTTGAATCGAACTATTGCACCTTTAACAATAGTACTCAATGCAAAAAGACGAGTAGGTTTCTGCGATAAACGTAAAAGTTCAACGAGGAGCCTTCAAGGTGGGCTAGCCTCGCTCGGTAGAACACGCTGTACTAAATTTACCATGAGGTGTTCCCTCTGTTCCCCCAGCCTGTGCGATGCATGAAGGTCAACTTCCAAACTAAAAGCTTAACGCTGTTTTTAAAGAAAACCTACGCAGATCCTAAACAGGTTGGCGTATTTTGTCAAATGATTGTCCTTTTAGTGTTCTTAGGTTGTGCCTAGCTAGGTTGACTAGGCGAATTGAAGCATCCAATTTGCCTATCTCCGAGTCTAAAAGGTTTCGCAACGTAATTTCATTGTTTGAATCTTTTGACTCAGAATTCATCGACGTCTCTCGTGATAATATCATAATAATTCTTGTAGTAGTAATAGTAAGTAGGACAAGACCGTTAGCACTTAGAGAAAGGTCTAGGGATTTTGCTTCTTGATTTAGCTCTATCTTAGACTACTGGGAACAGTAACAGACTTTGATCGTCGTCTAGACGACCCGTGGTGTGCTTAACGGGAGGGCTCAAGTTCGGCAATTCCATTGTTTAGAATCACTCAACTTACCTGGAGTATGTCCTCAGCTCTCCAGCTCGGGCCACCTTGCAAAGCATGGCATTCCAATGGGCCAGGCCAAATTCGCCTCGAAAATAATCGTTAATAATTATAATAAATCGTTTCTGTCTGCAACTGGCGTTTCTTCACCCGAAGCTTCATGAATATTACCTTCACACAAATGCACTATTTAGAATTGAAACCTTTGTTGGTTGATTTTAGAGCCCAGCTAAAATAATTTTTTCTCATATAAAGGATTTCTGGCAGTCCACAATCTGGGTTATAGGGAAACTTTACACCCGTATATGTCACGTTGGGTTAGAGTACAATACCGGCAACATCGATGTGACAACATCTGGATAAGTAGCAATTTGCACTCAACATTATCATAGGATATATTGCAGAATGCCTTAGAGTTTTGCCTAAAATGTGTTTAAGCTTTCGAAAGGTGAAAGGGATAAACAAGAACAACATGTTTCTGTATGAGGTTTCTTAAAAAAATTTTGTCTCGTACATTTTAATCCAAACCCAAAAGCAGACGGTTGAACCAACCTCATTTTATCAGTGGCTAGCAAAAGATGCTGTTGAATATCCATCCCGGTAACGCTAAAATGCAAACACGCCCATGGCAATGGGCTCCACAGATCAAAATGTAGATAGACTTCAAAAATGTTTTCAGCAGCAGGCCAAATAAAACGCGTTTAGACGTCAGACAAAATCTAAGCATCTTATATGTGATAGAAAGCCAGCGGCTAGACGTTCTAGACGACAAAGATAAGCTACACTTTAGCTACTATGTCACAACGCAAGAAAGTTATATAACCAACGGTAGCTTGCTAGTCAATTAGATATGGCAACCAAAACTGATTTCTAACGTGTTCTTTACACCCGAGTAGGACAAAGGCAAAGGTAAACTTGTAAGTGTAGATTTGCTGTCAAGACGACCCGAAACGGTCAGAATTATCGCATAAAATATGAGATAATAAATCATGAAATTCCATTCCAGAGATTTTTCTTTGTGGAACAAAATTATATAAGACTGTTAGCCTTGCATTTTTATGCTATAAGGATGTCAAAATATTAGCAAAAGTTAGTTTAATCCTAGGTTCGAATGCCACGTTAGGGAGAACTACTATGATAACCGGGTCTCCCTTCAGGTGGAATGGTCACTTCGAAATCCTGGCCACTGTCGTAGTTTAAGCCGGCTGTTGGCCAATGTGAAATATACGTACAATAACTCATAACATATTGTATATATCCTGCCCTGAATGAGGTAAATCTGTCTACAGAAGCAGCAGACCTTTTATGCAGGAACTACTATTTATGGTTATGTCTGACTCATCAGATTAAAGGTTTCGTTAAAAATTGAACGGATAGAGAAGCTGAGCCGGTTGTTCTCGAGGACACATGAACCGTCCTGTGTTGATTAGGACCATCTGCGAAAGCAAGAGAGGTCCTGTGTCCGTAAGGCTGGCACAGACGACGGAATCAACTGCGACACTGAACAACGCTTGACGCTACCCATTGTATCACTAGATTATTGCCGGTATCCACAATTAGTTTTTACATAAGAATTTTAATAGACGGCTGAATGCAAAAATAGTGCAGACGTCTTTTCTCTATTCTATATGTTTAGCAATCCTTTTGGAACTAGTATGTATAAATAATGTGGCAGCTAAGGCCAAAAAATCTAAAGATGATACTCAGCAAATAATTAGCTTTGTAATGAACAAATTCACTCCGAAGCAGTCGACGTCGTTATGAACGTGAAGGTAACAGCACGATGCTCCTAAACTTTGATGAACGCGAAGGCCGAGGTGCATGGTGGGAAGATACGAACACTTAAATAAGTTCTATTTTATAATTGATTTATGATGAAAT